ATGGATATCTTGGAAAACATTCCGAGGTATAAAGAAGATGGACCACCATACTGGCTAATATTTGTCGGTCAAAACACAAGATACTGTGAAGCCATACCATTACAGTCCAAAAATATTTTAGATGTGAAAACTGCTTTGACAATATTCGTTGACAAATACCATCCAACAAAACTGACATCTGACTGTGAAAGTTCTTTCAAATCAGACGATATTAAAAACTATCTGCGTTCAAAAAATGTAAACCAATATTTCATTGTCGACCAAAACCATTCTGCTCTTGGTGTCATTGACAGTTGTATAAAAATCTTAAGAGACTTAAACCAACCACAAGGTGGTGAAGCAAATGAAATGTCATATGACGACAAGTATAGACACTTTTCCATGGCAAAGATGAGACAAGTTTTAAATATTTACAATAACCGTAAACAAAAAGGTTTGGGAAACCACTCCCCCGAAGAAATGAAAAACAACCCTGACTTAGAGAAAGACTATATATTTAATAATTTAGTCAAAAGAGACAAACAAGAAAGAATGCCGGGCTTCAAACTTCAGAAAGGTGACAAAGTAAAAATAGAAATACCTAAACGCGACCCATATGAAAATACTATTGACTATGACAACAATGGGAACCCGACAGGTACTCACATTCGTGTTCGTAAAAATAGAAGAAAGTATACAAGAGAATATTATGAAGTTTTAGGCAAACATGGCAAAATGTACACACTGCAAGCAGAAGATAAAACGACTATTGTCAGACCTCGTTTCAAACTTGTCAAAGTTCAAGGTGGTATACTTTCAAAAACAGTTCCTAACAAATATAAGACAACTCCTGACGAATATGCTAAAGAAGTTGAAAATGACGACTAAGCATTTCTATACCATGCGTAAACTGTCATGTAAGGTGGCATGTAGTCTTTACTTTGTCCCGTTGTTTGCGTATATCCTGAAACGCGATGTGTATGGTTTCCATCTCCCTGAGTGTTACCCCAGAAACAATTTATAGCAAACTGAACGTTGTCTTTAACATCATATCCTTTACCTTTTTTCATTGCTGACCAATCCCAAAATTTATGCTTATGCCAACCTGCTTGAGATGTACTTAAATCTACGTAGTGACTATGCGCAGGTAAGTTTTCACCTGAAATCGTTTTACTTCCACCTGTTTCCTTTGAAGAGTTTGCACAATACAAAAACCTGTCGACTATTTGAGTCCAAGTTCCAAAACCAAGTACTACTTCTGGTCTGGTAGAGTTCATTGACGTATAAATAGAACCTATAGGATATACTGTTTGAAGTATTTCTGTCTTTAACGTTTGAAGCTCTGTTTTGTCAGCTTTTTTATCATATAAATCTTGAGCAGTGAATTTAACTTTGTTTTCATCCTCCATGACATAGACATTTCTACATCTAATGTCTTCATCCGATGTTAAACCTTGTGGAAAGTTAGGAGGTTTCCAATTTAATACATCCCCACCAGTTTCTTCAACCGTTCCTTCAATATTTTCTATACCAACAGTTCTGAAGAAATCGTGTGTATGTCCAACGTCACTTTTCCTGTTTAAGGTTTCTTGTAAGTTTGTAATATTTGCAATGGTATGTGTATGTCCAACGTCACTTTTCCTGTTTAAGGTTTCTTGTAAGTTTGTAATATCAGATATAGAATGTGTATGGTTCTTGTCGGCTTTAAGGTCTAAACACCCTGAAACCCATCCTGTATCGGCTTTAGCTTTTAAAATCTTTGTTGTCCGTTCATGGTACCATTCAACCCTTTCTTTAATTTCATTGTCTTTTTCATCCACATATTCCTTATCTGCCTTCTTCACTAACGCACTAGTCACACATGCTAACTCATCGTCAACATATGTTTTATCTGCTTTCTTTTCAACATCCTCTTTCGTTGCATAAGCTTTGTTAGCTCTTTCTTCTTCTTTTGCTATTGCATCGTCTACATACTCTTTGTCAGCTTTGTTGTCAACATCTGCTTTCAAAAGAAGTTCATCTATAGGTTTCTCGTTTAAAGTTCCTTTTGTTGGATTTATACAAACAGTATGGTTCTTACTGTCTTGAAATAGAAACTCGTCTGTCAATGGGTTTAATGTCAGTTTTAAGTTTCCTTCTTTCAATGACTCAGATATCTTAGAATAGTTTGAAAAGTTTGTTGTGTTCTTATTTAGAGCTTGCATAATGAGTTGTCGGTTGTGTTGTATTTCTCTCATAGACGCTGTTTCATTTGACATTTTTATTCTAGATAAAATATGCTTCCAATAGAAAAAGAAAATTCAAGAGTTGCTACAACTAAACCATTAGATGAACTTTTTACTAATGTCGGTCAAAAGTTTGAGACAGAGACCGTAAAGCATGAAGGCTATCGTTTTGACTACCCATTAAGATGGCTAAGAGACCCATCTGTCACAAAAGCTATTGGCTTTCGTAGAATGAAGTTTGTGTCTGTAGAAGATAAAAGTTTTCCATTTATTGTAAGGTTTCATATAGATTATATATCTGAAGGGAAACGAAAAATGTGGGAAGAAATTGAGCTAATACAAGTTGACCTTTCATCTTCTCTACAGACTGCGTTAAAAAATATAGAAGATAAAATAAATTCATGTTATGCAAAATATGCTGATGAATATGCGAATACCAATAGCACACTTTATGTGAGAATTGTATATGACAAACAAAATTCACAAGTGTCATTTCAAATCTACGAAGACAATCCAAATAAAGACGAACAAATATATACAGAATTCACTGCAATGTCATGGTATTATTTGCAAAGAATGTTAAATCAGAAAGTCGAACTTCCTTTAGCAAATATTTACAGTCGATATGCAAGAGATGAACCATATTTATTTAAAGATGTTTTCGACCCAGCTGCTATTATTGTTCATGCTTCATTTTCTGGCGCCCAAAACTCTTTCTTATGCTTGGCAAATGACTTTTACGAAAAACCTACAAAGTTATACGAACCACCAAGTGGAAGTATTTCAGACTTTCAAGTATGGTTTACTACAGATGGAAGAAAGAGAATAGTTCCATTATACCATGCGTTTTACTTAGAACTTAGTTTCATATACAACTACTATCGAACGGTAAAAATATAATTTTTTAATACGGTTGAGGTGTTGGATTTGGTTGCCAACTAGACTGTGGTGCAGGTTCAGGCTGTTGTATAACAGGAGCTTGCTCTTCTGGTTCAGGGTCTTTAGGTATAATACCAACGAACTGACCTACTCTTTTACCAATATTTTTGACACCGTTCCAAATTCCTCTTCCGACAGATTTTATTCCATTCCATATACCTCTTCCAACATTTCGAAAGAAGTTTCCTATCTTACTGAAGAAACCCATTTTACTATATGTAAAAATCTAATGTCCGCCTAGTCTCTTACGTTTCCTGTTGAGTTCCATAGCATTCTTTAACTGGAGCTCATACATTCTGTTTCTCCTCTGGTAGAAAACATATTCTGGGTCAACTCCTGTGTTCGCGTCATCTGCATAAAGTTGTTTATATCCCACTTCAGGGTTTGTATAAAACTCTTTCCATCTCATATTTGCATACCATGGTGGCAAACCTAACGCAGCGTCATTTGACATGGCAGTTTGCATTTGTACATCTGTTGGCACTTGACCATAGTTTGCCATTGCAGTTTGTATTCTAACTTCATTTGGAATATTCTCTGGGTTTGGTTGTCCAGGTTGCTGTGCATTCGCTAAGTTCTGTGCGTCCATTTAATATTAGATAAAAATATCTCTTACGAGTACATATACTGAACATTTGCAGGCATTGGTTCATCTTCATATTCTCTGTACTTTTCTGCCACGTCAAATAAATAAATGACACAATGGAAAAAACCTAAAACAAGTAGTCCTATTTCAAACCACATTTACTTACTAATAAAATTTCTTTGTTATGACACTTTCTCCGGTTTATAGGACCTCTCTCATATTCTATCTTGTCATATCTAAACTCATAGTCATGTATGTCCTCTAACCATCTCATAACGGTTTCCAAACCACTTTTATCGGATGTAAAGTAAAAGCATGGATGGTTATGTATAACGTCTAAAGTTTCTAAAGAGTCTCTCAAAGTCCAGTCTACTTGGTATTGAAAATCCCATGTGTTATAGAACGGCGGGTCCACTATAAAGAAAACATTTTCCTTGTCTTTATATTTTTCATACAACTCTGTCCAATAACATCTCACAAACTCTATACCCTCAATATATTTTTCTATGTCCTCTTTGAAAACATTTGTATAGTTAAGATATAAAACTTTTGACATAAGTGTTTCAATGTCATGAACTCTTATAGAACCACTATATAATAGTCTAGCAGATATACTATCCCAGTCTATATATTCTGCTTTTTTCAAAACCTCTCTCACAATATTTTTGTTATCTAATGGTATACGTTCCATCTTACCTATAGGTATCTTTTCTTTTAACTCTTTCAATATATTGTTTGTGTCTGGAATATGTTTGAGACGGTTCATATAGTTGTCGAAGTCATTGCATATAATCTTTGAGTCTGGGAATATTGTATGGCACAAATGGGATATATAGAAACTTCCACCGAACAAATCTACAAATGTTAGACCATTCGGTAGTTTCTTAAGTTCTCTCAATATAATATCTTTACATTTACTCTTATTTCCAAAGAACGGTAACGGTGGTTTTGTAAAATTCATTTATATATAATAATAAAAATGTTTTTTTCCTGAAAAGTGACAGAAAAGTGACAAAACATGAAAACATATATAATTGTGAAAAGTGACACATTATATAATGTTTTCGACCCAGAAGAAGGCTTCTTCCCAGAAGCAATGGAGGAAGAAGAAGAGTCCTCCGAATTCACACCAGAAGACTAACAATTTTCCGAATAAAAACTTCATTTATACTAAACATCTTCGGGGCTAGAGGGCACGAAGTGCCTGGAAGCCCCACTACCTTTTTTTTTTTTTTTTTTTTTTTTTCAATTTCATCATATCTCCCTTCAAAATGGAAAAATTTGTTTGCAATAGATTCAATCGAAAAAAGAAGTTAGGAAGAGGAGGTTTTGGAATCGTTTATATTGCAGAAGATACAGTAACAAAAGAAACCCTAGCATTAAAAAAGATAATGGTTCGTTCTCCGAAAGATGGAATTGAATATCATGCGATACAAGAAATCAGACAGCTTAATGAATTGCAACATCCGAATATAGTCAAATTCAACGGCGTATTCACACACAAATTTACGTTGTATCTCTCGACAGAATATTTACCATATGAATTAATTCATCTTTTCAATAAATATCCTGATCATAAGTTACCAATTAACATTGTTAAATGCGTAATGAAAGGAGTTTTACAAGCTTTATCTTATATGCATAATTCTAAAATAATGCACCGCGATATTAAACCAGACAACGTATTATTTGATAAAAATGGTGTTCCCAAGCTTATAGACTTTGGTCTTTCTTGTGATTTTCCATCAGATTTCGGACCAATGATCTGCCAAGCAACAACTTTAAATTACAGAGCTCCTGAACTCCTTTTCAGCCAAAATAACTACGGATCTGAAATAGATATGTGGTCTACTGGCGCAATGTTTGCTGAACTATTGCTAGGAAAGCCAATTTTCGATGCTCCAAATGATATTCATTTATTATCTCAAATTGCAAAGACACTAGGAACAATAGAATGGTCTGGATGCGAAAAAATAAGAGCATACATGAAGTTTAGTGCTCCTGAAGGATTTTCTATTTCAACTTTTGATGATAAATTTAAAGAATTCGGAAATGACGCACTTTCCCTCTTGAAATCATTGCTTGTATTAGATCCGTCTAAAAGAATTACAGCTGATGAAGCTCTTAAGCATCCTTTCCTCTCTGATGCTCCAGATTTTATTTCATTTGAATGATTTTTTTTGAATAAATGTTTGTTCTTCTCTTAATAACTACTTAAGTTTTATTATATTTAGTCTATACTAATCAAATGAGTTAATTATTCTTCATTTCCAATGGATGACGAAACCAAGCAAATAATAGCTTTCTTAAGGAGTCAAGAAAGAGGAGTTAAAAGATCAGTTGATAAGGTTCCTATGCCTAAAAGTTACGTAAAAGAAATGAATTATGTCCAAAATGAGCTCTCAAAACCAACTCAACCAGATAATTTTCACATCGACCATGAATGGGCATTTCATTTTGTAACATGGTTTGCAAATTTACGACACCATTTCGAAACAACATACAATGAACCTGAAAAATTCATTGATTATGAAAATGCTATTAAAAACATACGACAAAATATGCAACCAACGCCATATAGCGTTAGTAAATCGACTTCATCGATGATATTAACATATTTTCAGAAACGAAATACTAATTTCACTGAAAATGAATTAATTTGGGTGTTCAATTGCTTTATTTTCATAGATCAATTACTTTCACCTGATATATGCGTTGTGATGCAAAACATTCAGACATTAATATACAAGCAAATGCAAGAATTAGAAAATAATGATAAATTATTTTCACAATTAGCAATAATTTCGATAATAATAACGAACTATTTCAAGCAATAGAAGCTATTCGTATAAGAAGACATGATTCCAAAAAATCCAAATAAAAAGTGACAAATTTTGAGATTTTATGGATGAAGAGTATAAAGATCAGATTTCCAAAGATCAATTCAGTTCTCATAATCAAGAAAATATCGTTTCCGACCAGCCAAACAATGTAGATTTTGAATCTCTCCACTATTCAATATCTGCTGTTGTAAATAATTTGGACTTGCCTTCAAATCTAGAAGTGATCAAGGCAAATATCAAAATATCAACGAAATTTATTGCAAATTTCAATAATCAAGACGTTTTTAATTCATTTATTGAAATTTTACAGACAAACAAAGCAGAATGTGGCTTAATCATGATTTCCATCATCGGGAGACTATGGAAACTCGAAGAAAGTTTGGATTCTGCTTTTAATGACCTGCAAATTCCAGAAATTATGATTAGTTTATTCAAAGAGAACCCAATTCCAAATATTCAATACAAAATTACGAAAGCTCTTACTAATTTTGCAGCAATTTCGCAAAATAATATTGAAATTTTAATATCACTTGATTTTTTATCATTACTCAATATGTTTATTGTCGAATCAGATGGATATGAGACCAGGGATGTTACTTGCGCTTTCAAATTCCTTCAAAATTTTTGTAAATTCGGAATTACTGATTATTCATATGAACTCATGCAGTTTTTACCTCATTTATCCCATTACATTGTTAGTTCTGAGAAAAAACTACGAGAATTGGCTTTCCAATTGTTACATCTTTTTTTATCAAACGAAATTTTGTTTGAAAGAAGTTGTTTGATCAATATTCAGAGCCAGTTAGTTGAATCTGCACGTTTAGACCTGATACAGAACGATTTAATCCTGTTTTCATGTGTTTACAAGTTTATTGAAAACGGATTTACGAATTGCTTTGCTTCTGATGACTTCATTACATCGATAAACTGGCATCTAGAGAACAGCGTTCGTTATAACATCAAAACATCAATCCTTATCGTTTATTATATGACTGATAAGCATTTCGAACTAATTGAGAAGCACCACGTGTACGAAAGTTTGTTTTTGTTTGTTGACAGTTCTATTTTTGATAATAAATACTGGTCAATCAAAACTATTTGCAGATATTTGTCAAAAAGCAGTTATGATTACCAAGTTCAGTATATTGACAAACTTCTTGATAGTATACCTGATTTCGTTGAGTCATTAGATGAGAAAACAATCATTGATTTACTTTCAATTTTAATTAACTTATTAACGAATAATAATGAAGTCTACAAGCCAATCATGATTGATCTAGACTTACCAGATATATTTGATTCAGATATTGATACAAAACTCGATGAAACTGATGATTTAATTTCACAATTCTTAAAATTCTTTGAAGAACCAGAGAATTGACTTATATATTGTTATTGTATTTATTTAAACCTTTATATTATTATTATTTTATATATATATAAATTTGAATTTTATAAAATTTAAACAGATTATATGATGAATTTTAACTATGTGATTAGATTGTCCTTCATTTTATAACATTTTTTAGTTCATTACATGATACTTGAACTTCTATTTTCAATTGAAAAACATAATAAAGAAAATAATTTTTCTAAATGCTAGAGAAGGAAAAGAATTGATTTCCTCGGTTTGAGGTGCTAAAAATCATACTTTGCCGTATTGAATCGATATCATAGCAAGAAAATATAAGGTAAAACATCTCTATATATTGCATAACAATATATTTACCTAGAAACAGTAAATTTCCTTGACACATATGTGAGAAGATATCAGATTATGAAGAATGAAGCTAAGAAATAGAGAAAACAAAAAACAATCTGATGATCTTTTTAGAGAAATTGATTACGAGCTGATTGGAATCGCCAGCAAATGTGACCATTCCTCTTTCGGTCTAATGAACCTATCTATCCTACCATTATAGATTTCAGTCGTAGAATTCAATTGAATTTATCGGAATGATCGCTTGTCACTTTTCAAAATCATCAAAATAGCCAAAATAACAACACCTTATCAGAATTTCGAGAAAGGAATTACGACAAAATCGCAGTTCCTATTAGTTATAGCAATTATAGTTGTACTTATTTTCCAATTAAACGAATTTTCCAAGTCATCTTTGTCAGAACAATCATCTATCGCATCATTCTACCATCACCGATTTTCACAGAAGCATTATGATCCAGAATTAATATTCTGTTCAAAAAAACATCTCGATAATTTTACTCATCAGCTTCAATACATTCATACAAACGTAATAACTGATCTGCCATGCACTATAACTGAAGTTGGATTACAAAACAACTCAAAATATATCTTTGATGCCCAATATAGCGCTCGATGCGGAGCAGACGAAATTTCATGGAAACTAATGGTAAACGTCAGTCAGATCCAGTCAAATGGCTGCAATAAAGTCAATTACAAATTAAAATTTTCAAAAACTACATATCAACCTCAACCTGTCGTTACTGTTTTAGGTTTGCTCATATCTATAGCAGGCTTAGTTGATGCCATGATACGCACAGCCAATACGTCATACTTACATCTATTTTGTATTCATATTTTTTCATTTTTATTTATATTCGGAGCAGGCAATATAGATAGGACAATTTGTCACACAGTATTATGCATACAGTGTGCGATGTCATTACTTGGACTTTCAAAACAGTACATTTTAAATTATTCCGAAATAAGTCCAACAAGTATGTACTTAGCACCAATACTACTGTTTCCTTTTGTTATATGTATGCTTGCAGGAGGATATTGTACTTCATATTCAAAGCTTTATACAGCATTACGTTCATCTTTCGCTCTTTTGTTCGCTGATTACGTTTTTCCATCGCTACTTGAATTCAATGCTGAACAATCAGTCCATTGTTTCCTTTCAATGGTAATTTCTTTGACTTACATGTTGTTTAGCTTAGTTTGCCTTGCAAACTTTGCTTCCGAACAGTATCTCAAATACAGAAACCATGCTTATATATTCCAAGGAGATTCCACTCTTCCAATGATTGAAAACAATCAGAATTCAATGTTATAATTTGATTATATCTTTTGTTTGTATATTTTTATATAAATACTAATTCTTTAGAGGTCTTTTAAAAGGTATCTTTTTGTATTTAAGATAACTAATTTAGTATAATTTTCAATTTTAGATGAAAAACTAGTTTAAAAGGCATTTTGAATTATATATGATGACTTTTTCGATATTTTGGTTAAGATCATTAATGAGTTTTATGCTTTTATTGAAATTTGGAAAAATAATTTTGGTATTTTTCAGAATATATAAATAATTTACACAAAATATAAAACAGAAAAACAATATAAAGGAAATAGTATCAGTTTTCATTAGTTCCGGTTAATTGAGCTGCTCTTTCTTTCATATCACTAACAAGCTCAGCCAAATCCTGAGCTCTTTCGCCGACGAAGAAAACATCATCAGCATAAAGCAAGGCCTTCTTCTTTTGCATAAGGTTCTTCAGCCTTTTTCTGAGTAATGCGTTTTGAGAAGCCAAATCTTCATCATTTGTTGGAGTATCGCTATATTCAATACCATCATATGAATAATCTTCTTCCTCCTCACCTGTGTAAGAGTAGTCGCTGTAATCAGATTCTTGTGTTGATGAAACAAGAGGCCTTGGCTGTTCCGCTTTGATTTGCTCACTATCGTTAAGTTTGTGAGAGTTTACTGATTTTGGAGAGACTGATTTCTCTGATTTCGTAACATTTGGTGTAATTGGTTTGAAAAGTGGCGGAGGAACGTGTTTCATGAAGCGATCGTCGTCCATTGTTGTAGTAGCGATTGTAGCGTTATCAATTGTTACATCTGGTTCGCCATTTCCATCTGTTAAGTCTTGATCTGTTTGTAATAATTTCTGAACGCTGTTTATTTCATCTTCTGTAATATAATTGCCATCAAGGCAAAGTGTTGATAATCTTCTATCAACAATACTTGTTGTTGGTCTCTTTCTAATGAAGGTTTTGATGTTTGGAATTGATCTGGACGTAATTCCACAAGAAACAAAGGAAACTTCTTGGTATTGGTATGGATTTATACGTGGAAGGAATGATGTAAGATGATCATCTGTTACAGGAACATTGATAAAGCGTACAAACTCTAATGTCGGACATTTTGCGATTGATTTCAATAAAACAGACAACATACCTCGAGGAATCTTCATGGATGAAAATTCGATTGATTTGAGTATTTTTGTCTTAGGCAATACGATTTTCAAAATTTTGACAAGATACGGAATAAATTTTGGTTTTTTGTTTGCAATTGATTCGGCAATTATATTCTCACATCGTTCACTTTTATGTCCAGATTTTGAATAGTTGAATTCGAAATCGCAGTTGAAACTTACTTTTTTAACTTTTTTATATAAAAAATTTGGCAAAGCATTGAAGAATTTTTCGTAGTGATTGAATTGAAGAATAGAGAAATCAAATGAACAATAGGCAACATCGCCTCCACCCAATTGATACATTCCCTGAGTTGTAAACGCGCTCGTCATTTTTGGAAGCCGTTTAAGACGTTTATGTAAACATTTCAGAATTTAAAAAAAAACTGTCAAAATGTTACTTTTGCGGTTTGGAATTTTAGGGAGGCGACCGAAGAGAGCCTCAAAAAATTTCAAACCGCAAAAAAGCTGAATATCATTTTAGCATAGCATGGACTGCAGAAAAAAAAAGTCTGTCGAGACTTTTCAATGCTCGATTTTAAGGTTCCGTTAAAATCGAGCTAATCACTGAACGCTATGACAGACTTTCATATTTCTTCGGACTGATTCAGAGAATTGAGCTTGAGCTCAATTCTCTGAAAAGTCCGGAAAAATATGTTAAATTTTTTTCAAGAACATATATTCCTTTTCTCCTAAATTCCAAGTAACCAGAATTTTGAGACAGATTGCACAACCTTGGTTAGCAAAAAGATTTACAAAAAGACCTTATTTTCATAAATTTTCAAAATCTAGATAAAGCCCCAAAGTTCAAGCATTTCTAATTCTCAAACAGTCAAATGTACCATGTAGTTTTCCAATAAAAATATGTTTAAACCTTATTTCACAAGATTTTAAAATTAATTACGTTAACTGCAAAGCTTTGGAATATATTAACTTTAGACGTAAATGGGGCCCGCCCATTTGCTTCGTTTCTTCATAATTCTATTGATGATTGGAATCAATTCTTCAATGATCCACCTCCAACTCCTTATTCTGATGGATCTAAAGAGTATTGGAAAACAGATTCAAGTGAAAAATATTTTGTTACAGACTGTAATTTTGGAGACTTAAAGACGGCATGTATCAATGTGGATTCAGTAGGTCCGAATTATTTAGGAATCAGTGAAACAGAATTTAATAAATGCAGTGCAGATAATCAGTGTCCATGCACACGCTTTCGAAATGGACCATTTTTCCAATATCGAGTTACAGGAATAAACTGCTCAGTGACAAGTGGAACAAAAAGTGGAATGCACGCTGCAGTTGTAGCTAGAGAGAATAGTACTGATCTAAGTCTGATTGAAGAAACATCAATTTCAGGTTATTCAAGTGAAACATCAGGTTCTGTACTTTGTAATAAGTATGGAAATATTTCATTTGTTTCAATCAATGAAAGTAACTGCAAAACTAAATCAAATGTTGGATATGTTATTTTAAATGATGCATCAGGAACATCAAACATTAAATTTTGTCAATTTATTTCAAATGAAGCAGATTATAGATGTTATTGGCATGGCTATTCACAACATTTCATTCATTGTAGTAATTATATAAATAGTTCTTACTCTTCAAAACCAACAACCTATCCAGGAATTTTTTATCTCAAATACGAAAGTTCTCTCCTTTCTATTTCTAATTCAGTGCTGAAAGAAAACTCAGGGAAAATTTTATTATACACATATGATTCTAATACAAAAATAATTACTGATAAATGCTTTATCGATAACCCAAACATAGAAATGACAACTTCAGGAAATGGAGAGATTCAATTAAATAATAATAACATAATTTCTCTTTGTATCCTAGTGAAGATCAAATACAAAACTATTTTACAAAACAAATACCGTAAAAGCAATAGCTATGATAATCTTTATTTCATTTTATTTTTATCTAAATCTTAAAATTATAGATTCTATTTTTCATTTATATTTTTTATGCAAGTGATTCCATAATCATATTCCATAAGATACATATTATTTCTCATATATTTCAAATAACCCAATACTAGCACTATTTTGTTAAGAGCACATTAATCGCCGACTTCAAAGTTGATTGAATGCTAGTGTACTATAAAATTGATTTTCAATAGACTAATATATATATAAACATGGACGATTTTATTGTCCATGGAATTGATTCTAATCCATGGACATGACCAATAAAAAAAATTCTCAAATATATAAGTATATAACTAACAATTTATTTATCGATATCTGCAGCTGCGATATTTGCAATGAATGTTGCGGAGATCTCTGTGTATGAAGGATCAGACGAAATCTCTTTAAAGAACTGTATCATTCCCAATTCCTTGCATTTCAAAGCGCAAAGTTGGTACTTACTCAAATTAACAATTGTAACAATTGCATCAAGAGTTATTGAACTAGATGTCTTGACAATGTCCCAAAGCTTAGGAATTGCAATCAAATACTCAGAGGAATCACCGAATTCGCTAAGAAATGATACCAAATGCACCATTGACTTAAGAACTTCGATGTTATTTGATGCAACACACAAATCAAGTAATCTCTTCAAAACTTTGTTCTTTTTCAACTTCTGTATCAAGTCTTTCGATGGATTAGGGTACAAAATAATGAGCTGGACAATAATAATTGCACTTGTTTGGTCTTTTTCATGTAACAACTTAGAAAACATTCGTGTCAAATTCGAATTCAACAATAATTTCTCTCTGAGATCTTTGTGTCTGAACATAACAAGGAACAATCGCAATGTGCTCAGTATTGTAGGCAAAGGATCAATAATCCAGCTTAAATCTCGTGAAATAATCCTTGCATAATCAAATTTCTCGGCAATTGTGCATAAAACAAAGATTGCGTTCTCGTTACCCCTTTGCGCAGTCTTAAACAGTGCAAGGATGATCTCTGGGTTCGCTTCTACCGTTGGACAATGCAATAAAAAGGTAACTGTCGGATTTGCGCAATTTTCGTCTTTGAGAAGTTCAGTTAACCTCTGTACGGACAATTTGGAATGGGCACAAATGGAAAGAGAAACGATAGAATTGAGAGCTTGAACAGAAGTTGACATTTTCGAAGCCGTTTCGGCAGTTTCGAAGAATACATCTGCACAATTCTCAAGTCTTGCCTTCGCGTAGTCTTTGTGAGTCGAACATAAATAATATAAAGTTTCTATGTACTCAGTTGCGTAATCGCTCTTCAGAAACTTCTTCTCCGAAGTCAGTAGTATATCGAGAATGTCCCAAGGATCTTTATTGTCTTTGAATCCTTGAGAGTATAATTGTAATAAAATTAACGCTGATTTTATATCATTTGCAATGATTTGGTCCATTTCAGAATGGAATGAACTATTAATTCCTTCAGGGAAAAATGTAAATAATCGATGGTAAAGTGTTAATGCTGAATTTTGTGCTTCAAAGTCACAATAATCAACTAATTTATGAATTCCTGCCGCAATAGCCTCTCTAGCTATTGCTTTGGTCGTAATGGCTTCCGGTATATTGTTAATTACGAATAATTGAGTAGTTCTTGGTACATTTGGCGACAAAAGAGGGGAAATTTGCTTCCAGAACAACTTACAGTTCTGGTCATTCAGATTACTTAGCGCCTTCTTCAGGGTGGTCTGAATTTTCGGATTATTCGTGGTTAAATCAGAAAATTCGTATAAAACTTCGGATGTCGAATTTCTGACTAATTTTACTTTCTTTACACGTTTTTCTTTATGTTGGATCATAAAACCGTTATTTTCAAGAAATTCTTTTAATTCGTCGATATCTTCTTGTTTTGCGTTAGGATATGAGACGTTTCCGCTCGCAAATTGCTCGTAGATATATTCGAATGTTGGTCTTTCGTCTGGGTTTTGAGCCCAGCATTTTTCAATCAAATCTTTCAATTGTTGAGGAGTTTTTTGAGGAATTTGAGGTCGTTTGCCTTCGATCATAACTAATCTCATAACAACTTCTTGGTTAACGTTCTCCCAGGGTATTTTTTCTGTTAAAAGTTCGTATAATAACATTCCATATGAATATACATCGAAAGGGAAGCCGTATTTTTCTCCATTAAGGGCCTCTGGTGCCATCCAATGGGGAGTACCGATATTTACTGTCATTATTTGTGGAGTTTCTCTGTAAATTCTCGCGATACCAAAATCACAAATTCTGGGATAGTATTTTGAGTCAAGTAAGACATTCATTGACTTAAGATCGCGATGGATAATACCTTGTAGATGAAGAAAATGCATTGCGTTGGCGACACCCATGGCAATAACTGTTTTTTTAGATCCTGTCAGTATTTTCGATTTTGATTCAGATCGCATTAGCTTAAATAGAGATCCATTTGGAATATATTCTGTTAAAATGGATAATGGAAATTGGGGAGAAAAACCTAAAAATTTAACAAAAAATGGATGATTTGATGCGGCAAGAGTCTGTACTTCACGTGTAAAGTTAACTATATCTTTTTCTGTAATGCATTCGCTGTATAATTGCTTCAACGCGCCCTTACTATTCCCTTCTTCATCAGTAACGAGCCAAACTTCGGCATAGCCACCTTTGCCGATTAGTTTGGTCTTCTTTAGGGAATTTGCATCAATAATATACTTACTAAACTCAGATTTTATTCGTTCAAGCTCATCTGAGTTGTTCAGCATAAATTTTTTGTAAATTTACATTTTAATTTAAATATTTCTCGATACCTTTCTCAAAAATATTGTTTTATTCATATTATTATTGGACCCACGAATCACTAATTAATTCAATCTTTTTCATAAATATTAAATTTTTTGTGATGTTTACATTATTGGCAATGATTTTGATTCAAATCAGAAAGATGCAAGCAAAATGAAGCATTCGAATATTACCATACTGTATAATTGGTTTCAAATATTTTACTATTTGCAATATCTATCAGCTTTTGACAATATTTAGCAAACATATTTTTAAAATATCTGGCAACATATCACCATGAAGTCTTGAGATGCTTTGCAAACTCTGGCTAAACTAATGTCATCATTAGCTATCCTTATTACATGATTCAATCAAAGAATAAAGATATAAATTCCAGAAATCTTTGTGGATCGTGTGAATATCACTACAAAATCATCATTTGTCAATATGTCTGTTAATTAGTACTGATTCCTATCTCTTTAATTGAAATTTATTTTTTGAATTTGACTTATCGAGCTCTTTTCATATCAAACCAATTCTTTACATATTTGTATAAATGATTATGTGACAATCATATTATTTACAGGCGAGTTAAACGTGCGTTTAGAGATTTTTATCTTTAGAAAAATGAGTTTGGCGCTTGAAAGACGGTGCCAAATCTTCCAAAAGAAACTTGAACAGAATTTAATGATTGCTGATACTCAAATTCAACAATTGATGGACTATTATACATCATTAGAAGCCCAAAATACAGAATTAAGTGATCAAATTACGCGCCTTGATAATCAATTTCAACAAGAAGTAAGTATTAAGCAAGGATCAGAACTAAGAAGAAGGGCTCAACTTAAATCAAAGCTTGCCTCACTAAAAGATCAATATCGACAAGAAATATCAGATCTAAAGCATGCACAAGCACTTCAATTGCAAGAGATACAAAAGGATTTTGAGAATTCACTTCAAAAATTACAAAATGATGATAAAAAACAAACAGATAAAATCGAAAAAGTTTATAACCAAACAATTACAGAATTAGAAACCACATTAGAGAAAACTCAGCAAGATATTACTATTGCTGATAACGAAAAAGTCGATTATCAAACGAAAGACATATATGAAGCGCAAATTCAAGATTTACAAAACGTTCTTGCTCAAAAGAACCAAGAACGTGTTAATAACCTGCTTTCTTCGAAACAGAAGCTTCTTGACTGTGTTACATCTCTTGAAGAAAACGAAAAAGAGCATAAACTAAAAATGGATCAAATGAGAGAGAAATTATTGCAAGAAGAAGCGGCCTATAAACAAAAAATACAAAGTATAAAGGACAGTTATTCATCTACGCTCGGTCCAATTAAGAAACAGATAACAAATCAGGAAAATCAGTATCGAAAAGTTAAAAAGGAGATTCATGACTTCAAATCAGAAGCAAGTATACAATTAAACAATATGAACACTGTTTTTGAGCGAACAAGACAAGATTTGACTCATTATTCCAAAATTAGTCAACAAAGTACTGTAATTGAAAAACCATCAGCAAATATTGATACAAGAAGTGAAGAATTAAGAAGAATTGTTCGACAGAAGGAAGAAACGCTAAATAAAGAACAAGAAATTAATAATAAACTTAAAAGAGAAATTTGTCGCCTCAGATTTGAAAGAAGAACTGCAAAAAGCGAGTTTTGTTAAAACTTCAATAGATTTTATATTAAATAAATGTTAATAAACTATTTTATGTGTGTATTAAACTAAATTTACATCAAGATATTATTTTTAAACTCTAAAATATGTGTGATATCTTGTTATTTCTCAAAACATATCATACAATTGCAAGTGGTATTAAACTCAAAGTTTTTTTAAACAAAATTTGTCAAAAATTCAATGTATATTCAAAGTGATGTGATGATTTGTTTGCATTCAACTAGCAATCTAAATTATTAAATTAATTAGTTAACCCAGGTAATATATCTTTAATTATGCTCCAATTACTATCAATTATCAATATTTTTTCAATTCAAAGATTAATTCTTAAAATATATCACGCAATATACGGACGTCAATTAGCTTCCATTTCATATGCATATTTAATACAATACTACATGAAAATTTGCGAAAAAACACATTGGGCCATTTTTAGTAATATTGAAAAATCAAAATATTTAAAAGCTTTTTATATACATTATTCTTTATTCACTGTTTATGAGTTTTTTACCGAATTTTGAATTTGGTATTCTCTATTTTGATTTTCTTCTACATAAATCAATTGATGATTGGAAAAGATACTTCTCTAATCAACCACCAACTCCATATTCTGATGGGAAGAATTTGTTCACTAAAACATTTTCAACAGGAAGTTTCTTTATTACAGATTGTAAATTCGGAGATATGAAAACAACATGCATCAAAGTAGAATCTGAGGGAATGGCATATTTAGGAGTCAGTGAAACAGAATTTAATCAATGTTCTAGTTATGAAGGTTCTCCCTGCACATATTTTGAATCTGGATCATTTTTCCAATATCGAGTTAAGGGAATAAACCGTACCATCACACCTGGAGTAAGTAATGGAATTCAAACAGGAATTATAGCAAGAGAGAATAGTCAAGACTTAAATACCGTAGAAGAAACTTCAGCTTCAGGCCATCATAGTGAAACAGCAGGTTCGGTACTTTGTAATTGGTATGGAAATATTTCATATATTTCAGTAAATGTTAGCAAATGCAAATCATTATTTAATGTTGGATATCTCATTTTTAACGACGCATCAGGTATATCCAGAACAAAATTTTGCTACTTTACATCGAACGAAGCATCTGAAATATGTCATTGGCATTTGCACTCACAGCACTTTATTAGTTGCAGTAATTATTTAAATAGTTCTTACACTTCACCAAATGCAACTGATCCTGGATTTTTCAATCTTGGATTTTCAAATGCTTCCCTTTCGATTTCAAATTCTGTAATAAAAGATAACTCTGGTAAAGCTTTGTTATATTCAAACCCTGATAACTGTAGTATTATTGTAGACAGATGTCATTTAGACAATCCAAAAATAGAAAAAGTAGCATATAGCCAGGGTAACATACAATTTATGAATAAGAATTTCATTTACATATTAAATGTTCCATATAAGAATTGTATTTTCACAGATATCAAATACAAAACTATTTATGTGAACAAATTATGTAGATGTGATTCAAATTTCATTTATTACTTTGCATTTTTATCTAAATAATAGTTTTTATTCAAATTAATATTTCAGACAATTCACCAAAAGATTTTCCAGTAGATATTTTGACAGGAATTTTGACATTGAGACCGAATTCATAAGAACACTCTGATGATTTCTTAATTTTGTGAATCAAATCAATGAAAGAAAGAGTTCCTATTTCTTCGTCTGTTTCGAATATCCATTCGTCGTGAATCTGAATTATTGGAATTAGATTGGTCTGTTTTATTACATTTATTAGTGCGAATTTTACGAAATCTGCCGCAGTCCCTTGAATGATTGTGTTGACTGAAATTCTTTCATCTCTCATCTTATCAGATACTTTTTGGCATCTTATGTTTGGCAAAAATCGATATTTCCCAGAGAATGTTTTTATGAATCCTTTGTTCTGTGTTTCAATCACTGTATTCGTGATGAAAGATCTTATCCCTTGAAATATGTCTATGACTGAAATTCCACTCATGTTTTCAACTTTCTTACCATATATCGTTGCATAAATATTTGTTTTCGCTTCTTCCCTCATATCTTCTGTAACATTATTTTTATTAAATATCATCTTCGCAATTATTGAATGAATATCTCCTTTATCTATATTACAAATATCTTTCAATTTCTTATCATTAGACAAATGAGCCAAAATTCTCAATTCCAACTACATATAATCGTGTATTAATTATACTATTTGATTATTCTTAAAATTGCCATCATCAGTTTACTCTTTCTAGGATAATTTAGTTTTCAATTAAATGATTATTTCATTATAAAAATTCAAATATGACAATCTATAATTTGTATTTATATTCATGATATATTAAATATTCAATATGTGATCATTAAAAAAAGTTAAAATATAATGAAAAATGTGAAATTACTAACATTTGTTAAAAGAATGATATTAAATTTAATTATAATATATAAAAGACATAGTTTATGTTAAGGAAATGAAAATATGATGAAATCACATCTTCAAATCTCGATATAAAATAATAGGAACGTCGTATGTTGAAGTTTGGCCAAATTCAAATCGGATATGGATTCGTAATACGAATGATAATGAAAAATTCTTGTTGCCTTGAGATGCTGTCATGAAATTACGTTGCCATTCAATTAAAATAGGTAATTCGCGACCAATGAGAGGATCTCGTTCAGAAATGCGTGTTTTAACAACTTCGGTCTCAAGTGAAACACGTTTGCCGTTAGAATAGAAACTTTCTGTCATAATGATAGAACTAGAGACAAAAAGGATCAAATCAGCTGATTTGTGGATGATAACATGGCCAGTAATAGGGTATCGGTTTGAAATAATAGGTGTTTTGAGGTAAACACTGGCTTGGAAAGAAACTGGAGGTAATTCTGGATCTTTGTCACAGATTTCGATGATTTCGTTGATTGGTGGGCCAGATGGCTTGACTGGTGACTCTTTCAGGATCATTTTAAATGGAAACCAAAAGGTTTCTGAACTAAATAAACCGGTTTTAACTGTAAATTCAATGGAGTAGTCACAACTGATGTGGTTACCTCGGAATGATTCTGGAGCATCAATATCTGATGGAACGGTAAAGTATAAAACGTGTTCAAAACGGTGATCAACGAAATGTGAGATTTTGTCAGTAGGAGCGTTCCAACTCCAGAAGATCTGTCCGTTTTCTTTAGGAACACCAACATCAAACTTACTGTAAAAATGAAAATTTTCGTTTTGTGTTAAAACACCATAGCAAAGAATAGAAATGTCTTTGACACGAACACCTGTTTCGATTTTAGATTTGAAAATGACTTTAATTGGTTCGTCAAAGATGTATGTTCTGCTAGATCGATCAAATTCTGCATAAATATTCATTAAATTTTATACAGGGGAATACACTATCAGAAATTATAAATCATATATGTTATTAAAAAGTATATGCATATGAATATAGATTTCATGATTTCCGAAAACAAAATTTTTTGGGAAAAAATTCAAATTTATGAATGAATCTTCTATTTCTTCCATTTTGTGCCATCGAATTGACTGAAAATCAGTTGGTTCATTCAATAGTTCTATTGTTCATACTCCAAATACTATCAATGATCGACGATTTCAAACTTCAAAGTTTCAAACTCACAATAAACAAAGATTGTAACGAAAACATAAAAGATTTCTTATTGCTCTCTTATAAATTCCAATGTTTTAAGCAAACCATCGACAGAATCTTTCTCAAACTTCTCAGAAAAGAAATTTCCACAAATATAATTAGTTTTTTCTCAAATTAATTACTTATATTATATAATTTATGAACATTTTATCATACAATGCAAATAATGCTCGTTATTTCTCGTTACTTTTTCATAAATCGATTGATGATTGGAATCGATACTTCAATGATCCACCTCCAACTCCTTATTCTGATGGATCTAAAGAGTATTGGAAAACAGATCCAAGTGGAAAATATTTTGTTACAGACTGTAAATTTGGAGACTTAAAGACTGCATGTGTCTCTGTGAAATCAGTAGGTCCGAATTATTTAGGAGTCAGTGAAACAGAATTTAATAAATGCAGTGCAGATGATCACTGTCCATGCACTGTTTTTCGAAATGGACCATTTTTCCAATATCGAGTTACAGGAAAAGACTGCACTACAAGATTGACACATAATGGAATTCACACATCAGTTCTAGCTAGACAGAATAGTTATGATCTAAATCTCATTGAAGAAACATCAATTTCAGGTTATTCAAGTGAAACATCAGGCTCTGTACTTTGGCACAAGAACGGAAATGTTTCATTTGTTTCAATCAATGAAAGTAACTGCAAAACAAGATATGCAGTAGGATATCTTATTTATAATGATGCATCAGGAACATCAAACATCAAATTTTGTCAATTTATCTCTAATAAAGCCGCAGTTTCAAAATGTTATTGGCATTGGTATTCCCAACATTATATTCATTGCAGTAATTATTTAAATAGTTCATACTCTTCAACAACTACGACAACTCCTGGAATTTTCAATCTTGTTTCCCCAGATTCTTTAATTTATATTTCAAATTCAGTTATAAAAGATAATTCAGGAAAAACCTTACTATTTTCAAATTTCGGAAGTAGTAGCATCATTGTAGATAGATGTTTTATCGAGAATCCAAATGTACAAATGATATCAGCAGGATACGGAAATTTTCAATTTATCCATAAATATTTCATTTACATTTTAAATGTTCCACATAAGAATTGTATTTTCACAGACATGAAATACAAAACTATTTATGTGAACAAGATATATAGATGCAGTGAAAACAATTTCATTTATTTCTTTGCATTTTTATCTAAATAATAGTCTTTATTCAAATTAATATTTCAGACAATTCACCAAAAGATTTTCCAGCAGATATTTTGACAGGAATTTTGACATTGAGACCGAATTCATAAGAACACTCTGATGATTTCTTAATTTTGTGAATCAAATCAATGAAAGAAAGAGTTCCTATTTCTTCGTCTGTTTCGAATATCCATTCGTCGTGAATCTGAATTATCGGAATTAGATTGGTCTGTTTTATTACATTTATTAGTGCGAATTTTACGAAATCTGCCGCAGTCCCTTGAATGATTGTGTTGACTGAAATTCTTTCATCTCTCATCTTATCAGATACTTTTTGACATCTTATGTTTGGCAAAAATCGATATTTCCCAGAGAATGTTTTTATGAATCCTTTGTTCTGTGTTTCAATCACTGTATTCGTGATGAAAGATCTTATCCCTTGAAATATGTCTATGACTGAAATTCCACTCATGTTTTCAACTTTCTTACCATATATCGTTGCATAAATATTTGTTTTCGCTTCTTTCCTCATATCTTCTGTAACATTATTTTTATTGAATATCATCTTCGCAATCATTGAATGAATATCTCCTTGATCAACATTACAAAGATCTTTTAATTTCTTATCATCAGACAAATGAGCCAAAATTCTCAATTCCAACTGAGAATAATCAACAGAAATCATTGTTTTCTTTGTTGGAGGCAAAAAGAATTTTCTTATATTCAATGACTGTTCATCATTAAAAGAAGGAATGTTTTGTAAATTTGGAAATACAGAAGAAATCCGTCCTGTAGCTGTAGAAAGAACTAAAATCCATGGATGTAATATTCCTTCACTGTCACTTTTTTGGTCAAACGATAACCAATTTGACACCAATTTTGACAGTGATCTGAATTTTTTGATTAATTCAACAATTGGATGATTTATGTCATCCAAAACCAAACTGTTTGTCGGTGCAAATTCTCTGTGTTTGATGTTTTTGTGTCTGGAATCAATTGTTTTCGTTTGTGCACTGAATTTGTTCGACTTCAGTTTCATCTTTTCAAAAAGAACTTCACTGACTTCAAATGGACTCAATATGTTAAATTTACAACCGCTCAAACCGTAAATTTTGTCAGAAATTTCTTTCAATTCCGACTCGATTTTATATCTTTCAAATTTCATGTTTTCGAGGTCCAGCTTGAAGCTCTTCTGATGAATTGTTCCCATAAATCTTAAATGTCTCATTTCAATGTCTTTGTACCATTTGTAAAGTTTATCGTCTTTTGTAAACTTCTCAAATAATTCCAAAGTTTTATCAATTATATTTTCATCTTCTTTGATGAAATTTAGTTTCTCCATTGGCATCAGTGGCTCGCAATCAACGAATGACTCGGTATTCATCAGCCAAACAATGACAAATGGATCGACAATCAAAGAAAAGTTTTCTCCAAAGGAAGGATCAATGGAAAAGACCCATGTTGAATTGGGAATGATGTTTATCGCATCGTTATACCTCTCATCAATGTAATCAACAGTGATTGTGCCGCTTCCTTTTTGATGCAATTTGATTTTGTCGATTTTTTGGGGATACTGCTTTGTTAGCTTCTGTTTTCCAAAGGCAATGTTGTTGGATCCATTGTCACTGATGATTTCCCATAGAAAAACCTCTTTTTCTGAAATAATAATATTTTCATTATTATTTGAATTGATTTCGGTTTCTTTTGTAGGAATATCGTGATTATCTGTTGATTCCTTTTCGTTATCACTAATGTCTGATGAGTTTTGCTTTGGAATTTCATCATATATTATTTCGTCATCAGAAGAAAGGAAATTGCCTGTAAAATCTTGGTTTGTAGCATTAGCTTCGATATTTTGTTGCTCTTCATTGGTTGGTTCTTGTGTATTTTGAGTTGAATTTTGAATTTCTTTGATTTCTTGGCTTTCTTCGCTAGCTTCGCTATGAGGTTGTGTATTTTGATCATTGTTTTCCATATCTTGGGCATCGTCGAGGTCTGAAGGAGGTTCTGCGTCGGTCAAAAAATTTTCTTCAATTTGCTCTTGATGGAAGTCTTGGTTTTCTTCACTAATATCATTCAAGGTATCTGGAAGAACAGGGATGTCTCCAGTCCATTCTGGGAAAGCCATCTTAAATAGTTCTTCGTAGTCATCCATTTCTTTACAAAATTTTGCATTCATTGCATCACATCATAAAAAGTGGCATCTAATGATGGGAAAATTTTACTATTAATTTCTATGTTATTAAGAGAATTTACTTTATAAGCAACCTTTATTTTGATTTTTCTTGAAAGAACGCCGAAAATTAAATATCAAATTCTGCACCTCTTCATCATACATGAGCATAAATCATTATATTGGTTATATCTTACATATATAAAGCTTATTCTTATTGAAATGTAAGTAATGTTTATAATCAAATTCTAAAACAAATAGAATCCATCTGAATCATATGTTTCAGCATGTGGTTCTATAGTTATATACTTCAATTTGCTTGTACCGATATACATAAAGGTTAATTACTCTAATCTTAGCATAAATCAAATACAAATTTAGCGAATTTATTAAATGAGAAGAAATCTGATTAGAATTATATTTTATTAGTTAATTTTGTGAGAATGGAAAGATGTATCTTCCGTAAAATACCTATTTTAATAAAAAATATATGACGAATTAGATCTTCTTTGCAGATTGAAAAACAAAAGCATTAAAATTAACATATTTACATAAAAAACAAAAAATAATAACATCAATTCTTCATGTCAGCTAAGAGTGCTTGAATAAATTTGGTATAATCCCATCCTTCGCCTTGTAGTCTGTTGAATGTAACAACATAAACATTTCTGAAACCATACAAACGGCAGATTTCAGCAGTTATTTCTAATCCAGGGGCGGATATGTTGAAAAAGAGCTGATCTGCTCTCTTGTATGTAATTCCTTTAGAGATAAGTACATTCTCGAAGTTTATGGCCACTGCTGTTGGATCTCTGTTTGAAATTGTCTGTGACATAATAATTCCGTGGTGAACCGTTGTATTATCGTTCTGGGAAGGCGCCATTGCTGCCAAATTAAGCGATACTGAACGAGGAGTAACCTTTTTGACTGGTGTGACCACTGGTTTTTGAACTTCCTGTCCAAATCCCAGAGAAAACTGCTGATTTGGATCCATAGGATTCTCGTATATCGTAGCTAATGAATTTGTAGGAGGTATGACTGGTCTCTGTAATTCGTTTCTTTGATTTTTAATATCACCGGCAGAAAATCCGGCCAAACCTATTCCTAAACGCTGATCGGCGATGCTATCCACAGGCTTAGGAAGAGGAAAGACGTTACCAACACCGAAAAGCCATGGGTGCGTTAATATCTGATCAGTACTAAATCTAGTATTTGGATTTGGATTGAGAATGCTCTTCAATAAATCCTGGCATTGCAACGATATTGTAGCCGGCATTGGAAAATCGCCTGTTGTTATCTGTTGAAACATACGATTAGAATCTTGATAATTCCAAGGTAAAGAACCGTCAACTAGTGTGTAAAGGATCACGCCGAGGGCCCAGATGTCTGCCGGAATTCCGTAATATTGTGTCTCTGTAAGCGACTCTGGCGATATATAGCATGAAGAACCGCATCGGTCATGAAGTGGTAGATCTGCATGGTTTGAGCATAGGCCGAAATCGATGATTTTGATGTTTTTTGCTTCAGTTAACAGAATATTTTCTGGCTTTAAATCGCGATGTACAATATTTTGAGAGTGAATGTATGCTACAGTCAAAACAATCTGTTTGAAGAGGCGCTTGGCAAGAGGTTCCTCAACTCTATTTCTCGATATAATAAAATCGAATAATTCACCTCCGCTGCAGTATTCAGTAATTATGTAATAGCTTGATTCATCCTCTATAAAATCGATGAACTTCGCAATACCTGGGTGATCAAGAGATTTTAAAATCTCATTACGCTGTAAGATCCCATTTAATGTTGCTTGATCTGGAATAGAAGACTTTTGTATGATTTTTACAGCTACGGGCTGGTTTGTGACGATATCATATCCTAGCTTAACCGTTGAGAAGGCGCCGTTTCCGATCACGCGAAAGAGACGAAACTTCCCAATCAGCATTTTTTTTATACAGTTTTCAATTAGCGGTATAAAAAAGGAAAGGTGACAATTCCATATTTTACCCGTTCTTATAGATGGCCGTTGGCTATATATTCACAATTACCAAAGGATCTATTTCATACCATCAAACTATCAAATAATTTCAACATTTCAGCAAAATCTCTTATTCTCCTCATATTTTGATCGATATTGTATATGCTCGTTCGCTTGAATGATCATTATAAACGATCTATAATATATCCAACTGTTTTTTTATGATACATATGGATTCATGTCGTTTCAAGAAGATTCAAAACACATTTTTTCTTTTTTTATGAATTATATTGGGATTATTATACTACACAACTGAATTATATTATAATTTGAATATCCAAATTTGTTTATTTTGTAAATAGACCGATGATATATTATATTTTGAATATTCAAAATACAACCCTCACCAGAGAATTACAGTGCATGATGCTTTGCGTCATGAACACTTCAATGAAAAGCCAATTCAAGGAATTAGCAGTTTCTCGAATGATTCCCCATGAAGAATGGTACAGTTGGTATCAATAGGAGAAGGCACTTCTACTACTATATAGTTTGTGTCTATAAAGTTTAAGAGTTTAACTAAACTTTCAATTTATTTTGTGTCTATTAATTGACTTTTCTATTTTTCATCTTTCATATATATTTGTCATATGAAAGGTACTTTGTGCAATGATTATAAAGTTCTTTTCATTTGTTTTTCACAATATCGATGAATATTACAATTAATTTCGATTGAATTTGTTCTTGAGGGAATGCGACTTAATACATTCTCGATCAGAGCTTATACCTTTAAATAATAGTTGTTTAGTTAAAATATACGCATATAATTCATATTTTAATTAGAATATCTGATGTTAGCTGTGACTGTAAAGAATAATTTTTAGGTCTTAATAATAAACTGAATATTATTCTGTTTATTTAAGGAAGTCAATTTGGAAAATTGTTTTCACTTTAGGAGAATATAATGTTCCATTTGGAAAATTTAAAAAGTGAGACGCGCAGGATTCGAACTTTTTTAAAAGTTGATTTAAATATATTCTAGTGTGGATTCTAAGGATAATATCATATTTAAAATAAGAATATACTAGTTTAGATGGTATTAATTTTTTCGATAAATTTGAGAGTATGTACGTTTAGGGCATGAAAAGTGTCAATTCGCTCAGCGAAAGCTGAGCTAGCTTCGTTCTCGAAAGAATAGGGAAGGAGTGAAAGAGAGTGATACAGAAGTTGACACATTCATATCATTTCAACAAATTTTGATCAAATTGAAATTCAATAAAATTCAATTCAATTCATATCCTTCAGTCAGTACATTGATATCCTTCTGCATCACAATGATAACTCGGGCATCAATAGTTCTACAACTAACTCAGAAAAAACAAGATTATTACTTCCTGCTTACAGCTTTTAAAAAGTTTCGATGATAAAAATCACTCTACTCTCGTTTATCGACATATGGTGATAGTAGGTAAACATATTCTTATCGATATTAATAAAAATATTTGTACGAAAATCTTATCCAATTAGAGAGTTATTCATAAAGTATATGATAATTATAATTACTTTATTTTTGTTTTATCTTTGAATAAACAATTTAATTTAAATTGCATAATATTTTTTGGTTGAAAGACAGGAAACTTAGTTGAGTTTGTATTATTTTTATCGTTTAATTCATCGTATCAGTGAGTGATCCAGATATTTAAGATATTTAGAAAACAAATTATTAATTTGATTAACAAATTTTAATCAAAATAGCAAAAATCTATTTGATAGCTGTAAACAAACAATAATTTTTATTTCAAGCAAAATCACTTATTTTCATCTCAACGTATAAAATTGTCAATTTTATGAAAATAAATTGAAAATCTCATAAAATGTAAAGGAGAGTAATATTTTTCAATTTTCTTTTTTTCTTTGTCTCAAATATTTTCTGTTGGGAATTTTCTTGTTATCAAAAAATAATTTTAATATTTGTTTATTTCATTACATACAATAAAATTTTAAAAACTCTATTTCTTCTCAAGAAAATTTTTTCCTTCATATGAAGAAACATTTTGTTCTCCATTTGATACTGAGTCTAAATCTCGATTTTTGAATTTTCTTCTTTCCAAATTTCTTTTTTCCAAATTAGAAGTTTAAGGGTGCACACGAGAGGATCATGTAAACTTCAGAATATAGAACCTTATTTTTAGGCATTATCTTGGCTACCTATTTAGGCTCGAAAAGCAAAAAATATCAAAAAATACAACTTGAGTCCATTATGACCCTTTCATGGAGGTAGTTTTTATCCGCTAGTATTTTCCCTTTGAATCTCTTTACAATTCGAAATCAAATTCAAACCTCAGTAGAAGAAAGGAAGAATCGACTTACTACGGTTGTAATACGAATAAATACATATATTTAATTATTTTTATTTACATAATAATTGTTTGAAGTTCATATTCCAACAAATTTTTAAATAAAAACATTAAAATGTTGAAAATGTTCATATATTTTAATAGGGTTTTGGCACTTTATTGAGGAATTACTACATACATAGTCGAACTGAACTTGATATTTTGAAATTTAAATTATTTATCAAAATTAAAATTTAACTTGAAATTTATAATTATTTAGTCATATTTTGCATAATTCTAAGTAGATTTTGTAAAAAATCAAGAAAGAAAAATTTTAACGTGCTTTATTTTTTCTTTAAAAAAAAAAAAAAAAAAAAAAAAAAGGTAGTGGGGCTTCCAGGCACTTCGTGCCTTCTAGCCCTGAGGATGAATGAGTATAATGAAGTTTTTTTTTTCTTGGGGTGACCTTCCAGGCACTTCGTGCCTTCTAGCCCACATAAATGAAGTTTTTATTCGGAGGTCTTCCAGGAGCTTTTCACAAATTATATATGTTTTCATGTTTTGTCAAGACTTCTTCGTAAATGTTTTGTCAAGACTTCTTCGTAAATGTTTTGTCAAGACTTCTTCGTAAATGTTTTGTCAAGACTTCTTCGTAAATGTTTTGTCAAGACTTCTTCGTAAATGTTTTGTCAAGACTTCTTCGTAAATGTTTTGTCAAGACTTCTTCGTAAAATCAGACAAAAATAATGTTTAGGGTAGAAGGTTAGATATAACCTCTTTTCTAACCTCTTTTCTACCCTCTTGAATTTTCATGAAATTTACACCAAAAATAATGTTTAGGGTAGAAGGTTAGATATAACCTCTTTTCTAACCTCTTTTCTACCCTCTTGAATTTTCATGAAATTTACACCAAAAATATATTTTAGGGTAGAAGGGTATATCTAACCTCTTTTCTAACCTCTTTTCTACCCTCTTGAATTTTCATGAAATTTACACCAAAAATAATGTTTAGGGTAGAAGGTTAGATATAACCTCTTTTCTAACCTCTTTTCTACCCTCTTGAATTTTCATGAAATTTACACCAAAAATATATTTTAGGGTAGAAGGGTATATCTAACCTCTTTTCTAACCTCTTTTCTACCCTCTTGAATTTTCATGAAATTTACACCAAAAATATATTTTAGGGTAGAAGGGTATATCTAACCTCTTTTCTAACCTCTTTTCTACCCTCTTGAATTTTCATGAAATTTACACCAAAAATATATTTTAGGGTAGAAGGGTATATCTAACCTCTTTTCTAACCTCTTTTCTACCCTCTTGAATTTTCATGAAATTTACACCAAAAATATACTACTAGGGTCATTTACGAAGAAGTCTCAACAAAGTCTTTACGATGAAGTCTTGACAAAGTCTTTACGAAGAAGTCTCAACAAAGTCTTTACGAAGAAATCTCAACAAAGTCTTTACGATGAAGTCTCAACAAAGTCTTTACGAAGAAGTCTCAACAAAGTCTTTACGAAGAAGTCTTAACAAAGTCTTTACGAAGAAGTCTTAACAAAGTCTTTACGAAGAAATCTCAACAAAACATAGACAAGAAAGTTCATGAAAATTCAAGAGGGTAGAAAAGAGGTTAGAAAAGAGGTTAGATATACCCTTCTACCCTAAAATATATTTTTGGGTCATTTACGAAGAAATCTCAACAAAGTCTTTACGAAGAAGTCTTAACAAAGTCTTTACGAAGAAATCTCAACAAAACATAGACAAGAAAGTTCATGAAAATTCAAGAGGTTAGAAATGAGGTTAGAAAAGAGGTTAGATATACCCTTCTACCCTAAAATATATTTTTGGGTCATTTACGAAGAAATCTCAACAAAGTCTTTACGAAGAAGTCTTAACAAAGTCTTTACGAAGAAATCTCAACAAAACATAGACAAGAAAGTTCATGAAAATTCAAGAGGTTAGAAATGAGGTTAGAAAAGAGGTTAGATATACCCTTCTACCCTAAAATATATTTTTGGGTCATTTACACTCATTTACGAAGAAATCTCAACAAAGTCTTTACGAAGAAATCTCAACAAAGAAATTTTATTGGTAAGTAAATGTGGTTTGAAATAGGACTACTTGTTTTAGGTTTTTTCCATTGTGTCATTTATTTATTTGACGTGGCAGAAAGATATAGAGAATATGAAGATGAACCAATGTCTGCAAATGTTCAGCATATGTACTCGTAAGAGATATTTTTATCTAATATTAAATGGACGCACAGAACTTAGCGAATGCACAGCAACCTGGACAACCAAACCCAGAGAATATTCCAAATGAAGTTAGAATACAAACTGCAATGGCAAACTATGGTCAAGTGCCAACAGATGTACAAATGCAAACTGCCATGTCAAATGACGCTGCGTTAGGTTTGCCACCATGGTATGCAAATATGAGATGGAAAGAGTTTTATACAAACCCTGAAGTGGGATATAAACAACTTTATGCAGATGACGCGAACACAGGAGTTGACCCAGAATATGTTTTCTACCAGAGGAGAAACAGAATGTATGAGCTCCAGTTAAAGAATGCTATGGAACTCAACAGGAAACGTAAGAGACTAGGCGGACATTAGATTTTTACATATAG